AGTTCCACAAGCCAATTATCACAAGAAGACACAAAGTGTTCTGACTCTCGGGGGTTCTGAAGACAGCAGAGAGATACACGCTACAGAATATTGACTTTTTATGAATAATACAGAATGCACTGCTGTAGGACCAGATCCTTGGATTTAAATTGTTTGGTTTGGTGTAGGATGTATGGTAAGAAGCAAAGTGAAGGAAAGCAACTTTACCTTGGAATCAGATAGCTGATAATTCAAACTAAAGGTGTATTTGGAGCATCCAAATAGATCCATCAAGTTATGCCAGCGGCAATAATTATACAGGAGCCATGTCATTGGCTGGAGATTGCTGAAGTGCAACACAATTTGGTAACAACCCTTATTATTCCTGACACGGCTCATGAGGAAATTGGTAGTGTAAAACGCAAACTCTTAAAAGATCACCTAATAATTCTCCTACAATAGAGTCACTTCTAGCTGCCACATTACGTCAATTCTGCTTTGCTTAGGAAAACATGTTGCATTTGCATTGGGGAAACTAAGAACTCTTATTGAAAGTGTCCTGGCTCTTCTCATTTTGTCACAAAGCAATTTTGTCACAAAGCATACTAGTAAATATGACCTTAAAAGTTTCAAAACACGTAATACGACTGACAACATAGATCCACATTCCTCAGGAATACCACACTGTATTAGAAAATATTCTTGTATATTTCTTCTCTGATTAAAAGGAATAGAAACCAAGCAAACTCCCTTAAAAATTGTCCAGGAGTCACAGTCACAGTCTTGAGAGAAAAAGTTTAAAACTTCACATATACATTATACTTTCTCAATTATAATTGCTGCAATATTAAGAAAAGTCAAGTTAAAGTGAAATTTAGTTAAGTTTCAGTATAAGATAGAGACGGAAGAACATTAGTAGTGTACCAATTCTGCCATATGACGTTGACCAATAGACATAATTATAGTATGTTGTTAGTCCCATGTGGGATAAAACTAGTTTTCAAACAGAACAAGTCACTTCGCCCTCTCCAGTTTTTCCTTTTCAGTAATACTATGTAAATGTAAATTATCTGTAAAACCATAGGACACAGTGGCCTCAGAAGAATGTGAAAGAGAATGGGTTGGCCATGTAGAACAGTCAAGCCTGCTGTGGAAGGCACTGAGATTTTCAGACCTTGTAATACACTTATGTAATTCTTCCCACATAGCTGGAACTTCAGGTCCTACCTGATAAAGTTATGCCACTTGTGCCATAACTTGAGCAAGAATGAAAACTGCTGAGGCTATTGAAGTTTTAGAGGTAAAAGACTTTATACAAAATAGCATGATTTTTCTGGACCCACAGGGAGTACTCTTTTGCATCACAGCAAGTCCAAACTTAGTAAAATAATGTGAGAGGAATTATGCAGATGAGACATTCAGAGTGACTTGATCCTTGCAAACTTCTTTATGACAGAAAGCAAGTTAGTTAAAGATCAAGAAATTTCCTATTGTCTGTTATCCCAAATGGGACACTTCTGCCAATTCTTAGACAAAGACAAATTTACACCTACTGTATATCAATGAAACTCTATACATTGTATTATCCTAATGTCCTTTATAAACTCAGGCTAAAGTACTTACACACACCTGGTTTTCTGTTATATTATTGTACAATTTAATTAAATACTTCTGCAAATTCATATAATCTCAGCTGAAGGCAACCACCACCCAACTACATTGATTGAAGATGTTGATTTTGCTTTTATCTACTCTGGCTGAATGTGAACCTGTCACCTCTGCCTCTGGTGGCAAAAATGGAAGCAGTATAATTTTTATAACAACTGTTGCCTGCTCTAGCAATTACACAACACAAAATGAAAAAGACAATGTTGTTGCCCAGTTTCTACTTCTCCAACAAAAACAGAATTGTGTTGGTGGTGCATTACAAGTGCTATTTTTTCTTGCCTATGTGAGGCCATCATAATCAGAAATATTTGAACTTGATATTTGATTAATGCTGGCAGTACTCTATAAGTGATTTCCACTCAACGTCTAATTATTTATTTCCTGTTATTAATGGAATGAAACAATTCAAAACAAACAGCTGGAATGACTGTTTTGCAAGAAGCTCATAATCATCAATTCATACATGTAGAAATCTTCCTAAAATTATATTACACTGGCCTGTTGAACTTGAAAAGCATATTTTATCCCAATCAATGCATAAAAGTAAAATTATCCATAACTAAGGCATGTTTCTCTGCTGTACAGTTCAGCTGTAATGATCCCCACACACTGCACTTGCACATCAATTATGATAATCATAATCACGGTCGTTAAGCTGAATGTTCATTATTATCAGGATGCTGGTGACAGCAGATTCAATCATCGGGTGCAATGGGCAGGCAGTCACAGTCCCACCCAAGTTTCTGCAGACAGCGTTGTGCCACATTAAATCTATGATGTGTTCCACATCCCACTCCATTCCAAAAGCTGTAGACGGTAAAGGTCAACTTTATGTTCTGTGCAATATGCTTAGGTTCTCTAAATTAATTCCTTGCAGTACTGTATATTTTTATGCTTTGTAGATAATAAAATTCTGTTTAGGGCCAAAATGCCTGTGCAAATAACGAAACAGTGATGCAGTTGTACTGTAATTCACCTATAATAAGGTATCAAAGGAAAGAATCTATCAACAAGGAATGCCTTCAAATGTCATGTCCCTAATTTTCCAAAAAAGAAAACAGTAAATGCTGTCATTTAAGTCAGTTTTCTAAAATGCATATGCAAACTAACTCCAATACCAATTAAAGGCCATAAACTATCATTTCTGCTTCAGTAAATATGAACATATGTGAGTGTTTTGACAACTGAAAGATTATAGTTAGCGTATTTGATCCCCTGACTGTCCAGCTACTCTGGGACCTATTACTCTAGATTAAACTCACAGTGACTAGTAATTTTTTTTTCTTTATATCAATACTTCTTACAGAAATCAAAGGCATTTCAAGGTATTTAGACATATATTAATACAACTTTAAAAATAGGCAAGCATTTTATATTTTCATAGTAGTTAACTAGGATAACTAGATTGTTTCACTAGAAGTATAATATTTCCATTTCTTAACTTGTTTCTTTTTAATGAAGATTTAGAGTACAACTGTTTTTTCCCTTAGTTTAGTAACTTCTTAGAAATCTATGTGGAATTATTTTCAGATTATAACCAGATGAAAGGAACTATTAACTTTTCTCACATACCAATTGTAATTACTACGTTTAGAGGAAGTCTATGCTAACACTGTTTCATTTTCCAGAGGAAATATAACAAAACAATATTTGTCATTGTTGCTCATTTTGCTTCTAAAGTAATTATATAATTTACATACTAATCTTTTTGAGACCTGAATTAAAATGCACACATATAAACACATAAAAATCTAAAGGAAATACAACTCAGACACGCTCATGTACATAAAAAGAGAAACTTTTTAATACTGAGTTTATATTAAAAAAGCAGCTAATATCGAATAATACTTCAGCAGCTCAGTGGTCATTGACCCATTGATCACTGCACTGCCTCCTTGGAAGAAATTATAATTTTTCTTACCAGCAGTGATTAGATGGACTTCTTTATTAGAATACTTTAAGAAGTCAAGTATACAACCTGGCTGGGTTATCAGCTATTCAGGTTGTAATAACCACTGTGTTCACATAAATATCACCTAATGGAAAACCCCAAAAAGGATTGTGTTAAGCAACATGTTAAGCAAAACTCAGATTGTTTTTGGTAATATCTTCACACATGCCAATTAGCCTGGTGATTAATTAATAGAAGATAATTTTGTTCAGAGCCCTGACGTATGGAAACTTTTACTAGATTTGGGAAATAAAGTAACAGAATTCACTGAAATTTTAGTTCTGAAAGTATGACCTTGTACCTGCCTATAGGACCTCTTCCATTAAAATGAAGAAAGGAGGTGGAGGGTTTTTTTTCTTTTCTTTTTTTTTTAACAGTAATAATGACTCATTAAATAAGTGGGTAGGTCAGAAAGAGCTATTTTCCCCTCTTATCTCTCTGTCTGAGTAAGCAGCTCCTAACTGAAGCTTCATTTTAATTTAGAACAGGGGTTGGAAGACTGTAGGTTGTGTTGGATTAATGCATACAGCTATATACCCACAGAGATTTAGGCTGAAATCTATCCAAGACAGCAAGTAAAGCAATTTTAGCGGTATAAGCTATGTCCTATAATTTATATTATATGCATCATATACATATGATAAGCAGTAGAAATACCTTTACATCGGTTGATATTGGTATCTGAGCCTGATCAAAAACTGCTAAAGACTGGAAACGCCTTTACAGTATAAAACAAGTAGGAGCAACAAATTTTATATCATTTTTTTTTAATATATCATGCTGGTTCCATCTTCATTTCCTCCCATAGGTGTTTATATACATTGATATAAATGTATATATCAATGAGCCTATATTAGCCCTGAGCCTTCTCTTCTCCACATCGAAGGGTTCCAGCTCTCTCAGCCTGTTCTCATAGAAAAAGTATTCTACTCCCTTTGAGGCCATGTGCTGGAACTGTTCTGTCAAGTCTATACATTTCTTGTACTGAGAAATTTTAATGTGATTATGATTCCTAACACAAAAATAAGTAATGCAAATATATGCACAAATTCATGTTAGAACACTGTTTAGGTTCATTTTCACCCTTTTTCACCCAATACAATATTTTTCTTCCATAATTTTCTAAAGGCTTAGCATGTAAGAATAAATATACATATGTTATATTGTATGCCATATGTTGTCTTAAATCAGGAAAGGCATAACAGAAACAAAAAAAAATTGCAAAAACTGATATAACCAGATCTGTACTTATACATGCTCTTAATCCTTACCTTCTAGGTCAGAGAATTGTTGATGGCCCAAAGATACCCAGTGGATTCAATGATCTCAGAATCAGGCTCAAACTCACATATAATAGCAATCTAAAAAAGTAAGCCATTCTTTAATTTTTGTAGTGACTTACCTTGCCTGTTACCCACTTATTCGGCTGTACTTCTCGGAAATGTTTAATTCCATAAGTTTCTTGGCCATATTTGCCTGACCTATGAATTGATGGATCATACTTCTCATTTTTATGATATGAAGAAAATGGCAAAAATCTGAAATTCAAAACATATTTTAAAATTATGACCTACTCTGGATGCCACAGAAATCATGTAAATAAGATATCAATGAAGCAGAAAATGAGGTGGACACAAGTTTCTGCTATTTTCCTCTACCATCTTGATGGTACTGTGGAAGAGCTACTGCAATTTCTTTGATAATTGCTTTTTGATAAAATTTGGAGCAAAGTGATAGAGATCTTCAATAGATAAAATGAAGCCTTGTAAGAAGACAGAACATGGCGCACTTGCATTACCAGATTAGTACTTTGGCTATATTTGCACTGCTAACTGGTGTGGTTTAAAGAGGGAATGAACAGGGACTGGTTTGCTGTGTTTTCCTTATTGACATGTGCAATGCAGTATGTGCCACCAGTCAGTGGAGGCCTCCACCATACAAAAGTAGAGTTCACTTCTGTAGAACCTTGCATCCACCTTACAAGTAGTGTACTCAAAAAGGCAACCAACACAACCTCAACCTGATCATTCCATTCCATCAGGATGGATGCATTTCAAGCCTACCAGCACTGTAAGTATAAACCACAGCAGAAAGAACTTCTTTTGTACCTTAAAGTAGAAAATGTATCCTTTGATAACTGTTAACCAATGCTATAGAAGCTGTAGTCTAGTTTAGCAGAATAGAAACTTATACAGATAGTACTGTTGGCTTTCATGTATTAGCAGACCACAAAGCAAATCAATTATTTGTTCTAAATCCACCAATCATATACTTTGAAGTTATCAGTATGCCCTAACTATCAATCTTTTGGGATTTGATTCTTTCACCTTTAGTCATACTGAGGGTGAACTCCCTTCTTGCATACTACCACTGAACAGTGAAATTCCAGATGCCTTCTTTGGTTATAGAGGTTGTTTTAAGATAGATATTCATAAAGCTTGCAGACACCTACAGATTTTCTGGGTAGGCCCCACAGTAAACTGTATGGAGGAGGGTGAAAGACATCTCATATATAACAGATCTGCAAGTGATTCTACAAAATATCAGTTCCATCTGCCCATTTTAGTTTGCAAGAGAGTTACGAGAGCAAAAAGATACATTTTAATATGAAGGAAAATCCCATAAATGAAGCTTATCATCGCTGATATTCCAAAAAAAAAAAAAAAGAAATGGGTGTTCTTGATTCTACAAGTGCAGAAAAAATATTACATGGTAAAATTAGAAATAAGTTTGAAGAGTTTAAAATATCACTTTAACAGCCACAATAATAGGTGTAGTTAACTAAAACCTTTTAATAGGTGAAAGTTTTTCAGAACCCAGAGTCCCAATACAAGTTATAGTCAAACACGTTTTTGATAAAGATGGGGATAAAAATATGTTTCTTCCTGTTTCTCAGTTGATACAGACTCACAAAATGATTTGTTTACACTAACCAATAAATCAACAACTGTTTGGGTGAACTTGTTTATTTTTCTTAAACTATATGCCTCTCTTTCCACTTCATAAAAAGAAACTATTTAACAATATTCCTAGCTATATCAATTTATTCTATCTAGTACCACAGTCAAATGTCATGTAAAGTTAGCAAAAAGAAAAACACTGAGTTAGCAGACTTAAATTATACAAAGCTATAGTAGTATGTGTATACTCATGGGAAAGGACACTCACATAAGACAGATTATGGTACTTGTAATGCTAATTTGCACATGGGATGGACATCACATGCACACAAAAATTAATGTGGCCCCAGTGTCCCAGAGAATACATCGAAGGTGCTGTGAGCCGGCTGCTCCACTTGCAGTTTTTATCACTTCTGAATTGCATTTTAATAGTACATTTTTCTTTTGTTCAGACATGAAAGAAAATTGGCTTTCTCGGGGGATTGGATATCTGAGAAGGCTAGCAGTTTAGGGATTTGCCCATATATGCATATAATTTAGTTGAGCCATAACATTCATAATTCAATATGAATACCACATCTGTAAAATTTATACACAAAACAGCAAAAAAATAAATAAATAAAATCGAGAAAAGTAGAAGATAAAGTAAAGAAAGCAATAAGGATTCTAGTTGTTTCCCCTATAAAATGATCTATGTGAAGGGCTTGATTTTACTGTGGATCAGTTCAGCTTCATCTTTTTTGGCAAATCTATTGATCAAATCAGAGTTTGGCAAATCTGAGTAATTTATGTTTTACCACATTTCCGAACTTAAATATCTATGCATATATTCTAACATTTTAGGTCACAACTAACATCTTGTACTACATGTAGCTTAGCACAAATGTAATCTTCCACATTCTACTGTTTATCTCCTCTAAGACCATTGGCTGGTCTATGTGCTGTACAGCCTGGAATGTATGTCTGTGGTTGAGGAAAAAGTTAAAGCAACAATGAGTTTTTGAGAAGGAACATTGAATAGTAAAAAAAATACTGAAAATGAAATGACAGAACATTAATAATATGTTAATAGCTATAATGGCATACTGTAGTAATTATTTTTTCTCCTGTCTGTAGATCCACAGTCAGAGCCACCTGAGCAGTTGTTGATAGGGACAGTGATCTAATGACAAGAAAGGATCATAATCACAAATTCAATGTCTGTTTAAAGCAACCAAATATTGTCATAATTTTATGTAAATAACTAATAAAAATACTAAATTTTGTTTATTTGTTTTAGGTAGATAAGCAAATTAATAGGAATCATACGACTGTCATTATAGCTCTACCAACCAATGATAATAGTAAAAAGCAAGAGCACTGCAATATACTTCAGTAATGGCATTGTGTTCTGTAGTTCTCTCTCTATACCTGACACAGCTTTTCCCCAAATTAATGACAGTATGTGTTCTGAATGTGACAGAAGTGATGGAAGGAGAAGAAAATTAAATCCAGACAATGGTATGATAACATTATAAACTGCCCAACCTTAGACCTCAGTAGTTTTTTCCCCACAATAAGCTCACTTCAGTGGGATTCTTATATCTGGGTTTCAGCTTTTCTTTGTGATTTCAGTGTAAATTCAAAAGTTCTTGAAGGCTTTCAGTAAAACTGACAGAGACAGAAATAGCAGGATGAAAGACGAATCAAATTCCACGTTACTGTCACATTGTGCCATAAAGCGTAATCAGTATAATCTGCGCCTTTCCAAAACTGTATGATTTAATGGGAGGTGAATTCTCCCCAAAGAAATACACTTAAAAAATGAAAAGTTATTTCATTCCACCCACCACAAAAGCTTAAATGAGAGTTATGACAAACAATACAATCAAGATAGGGTGAAAGAGTTGGGATCAAAAAGCCCCGGAGCCCTTGACTTAGTAGGCAATCCTAGACCTGACAGTTTATAGCAGTATATATTTATATTTCAAAAGATATCCTTGATATCCTTTGTTGTTAACTAAAATTGTGTTCTCTCTCCTTTCTATCCTGTACCTCTTTGCTACCATTAATTTAATCTTTCTAATCCTTCTTTTCCACACATTTCAGCCCCCTTGTTCTCTTTCTTCCTTCATTTCATCACCTATTATTTCTTCCTTCCATTCTGTCTCTTATTCCATTATTTCTTGCTATTTTGACAGGAGATGGAAGAGGCCTCTTAGATGCTAAAGGCTTTCTAGTTGTTCTTGATAGATGCTGTAGAAGGTACTGGACTCTGGTGTCTATGGCAATGCAAGAGAAGAGAAAAATCTTCCTATGCAGAAGCACAAACAGGAAGGAGGATTTGTCAGGGAGTGTAGTGATAGAACAAAGGGTAACAGTTTTAAACTAAAAGAAGATAGGTTTAGATTAGATATAAGGAAGAAACATCGCATAATGAGGGTGATGAGGCACTGCCAGGGCCTCCCAGAGAAGTTGTGGATGCCCCATCCCTGGAAGTGTTCAATGCCAAGTTGGATGAGGCCCTGGACAAACTGATCAGGTGGAAGGTGTCCCTGCCTCTTCAGGATAAAATTCAGCAGTATTCACTTTTTCTTCTGCCTAAATGGCAGCAAGCAACAGGGCAGGCCTTCAGCAGGTTCTCTGGATCTCTGAAAAGCAGTCTAGCAGTGCAAACATATAATATTGATAGCAGAAATGCTTCACTTCACCCAGGCTACTGAGAAAGATCAGGTAGGAGATCTACTGCTAGACTATCCCACACCCCTTGGCACTGTAAGAAATATTAACACCAAAGAGAGGTAGAGTAAATATTCCTAGATTTTTCAAACTTGCACAACATTTGTATGTATTGTATGTTTTGGTAACTTAGATATAAAAACTCTACCAAAATTTTAGCTCTAGATGTGTGATAGTGCTGTTAAATTTGTACCTAAACTGGTTCCGTGTAACAGTAATTCATTTTTTATTGTCTTGACCTAACTGAAATAAATAAAAAAAAAAATCCTCTCACTTTAAAGAAGACCACGAGCAATGAGCTCCAAACAAACTATGCTTCATCTTCTGGAAGCTGCGAATCTGATGTGTTGTCTTTTTTTGTTTGTTTGTTTTTGTTTTTTCTTTAATTTATTAAATAAAATGCGTAATTCATTTTAAGCTTTCAGATTTGGGTTTTACCTAAAGTCATTGCTCAATCTAATCCAACAGACTATCTTTTCACTTAGTGAACAAAGCAAGAATCAAAATGGTTTTCCACAGCAAAACAATTGCAACAGGGCAGCCATTATATAGTTTATAATGAGTGCACATTACAAATCAAAGTGTAATTCACAGTATAAAGACAGCACATTTTATTTACTGTATCTAGTCAGATTATCTTTAGCACGGTATTTTTTCCATGAGAAATTTTGGGTGCATTATTATGTTGTGTGCAATATACTAAATATCGATGCTTTTTCAGTAAGCTCTCAGTCATTTTTATCCTAACAGCAGCAAATCCAAGAAGCCTCTGTCTGTTTTTATTTAACCCATGTTTGCAATAATGTAAAGTGGCAAAAGAAAAAAATCATCCAGTTCTTGTAGAAAGTAAAAGATCTCTTCTGCAGCAAATTCTGGAACTTCTTAATTATACGCTGACTTATCTGCATCCCCAGTGTTATAAAGTACTAGAACTTCATTAGAAAAATTAAGATGGAAAAATGAAGGCACTACTTTGTAAATTTCCAGTGGAAATTAGCTGGAAGAAGCAGAGGAATACTGGATCAAAAGAGGGTAATCATGCTTAACTGTGCCCTAGAGCACCCGCATGTATAATACGATTTGCACAGTAACTACCTCTCCTATTACTGCTTGTTTGGAGTATTCTGTGTTAATGGGGTTAGCTAATTTAGTATTTTAACTTAAAAAGACTCTACTGATTAATAAATGTTGCACACTGTGCTAGTAATTAAAATAAATGGAAGAGTTACAAATAGAAGTTGAATTGTTAAGAAAACATTATCTGAAAATATATGATAATCCCTGTTTATCATAATACAATAACAGTCCGGAAAATATGCAAATTGCTGAAGTTGCAAAGCATATGAAAAACTAAGCATAATTTGAACAAAGTTTTCAGATGTGTTATATTTGCATGACATAAAACGTAGTGGCCATTTTCACTAGGCTAATTCAGAAATACAGTAAAAAAAAATCTTAAAAACATACAAATGAAAAGATTTCTTAAAATCACACAATCTCATCAAAACGAAGTGACTTGCTTTTTAAATTTTAATTTAAAATGCCATTTACACTGGGCATGTCATGATACTGATGACTCCAAGTCATTAACCTTTCTGTAAGTCCATCCTTTGTGCACAGCACTGTGTAGCGCAGAAGTACCTACAGTGGTTCTAAAGGAAAACATTGTCTTGCTGAAAATAAATTTGTGAGGAGCTTGGTACTACAACACTCACACAATGTGTGAGGCACGGGGTGTGCAAACATTGCGCTGTGCTGCACACAAGTGAACCAGTGTGTTCAGGACTAGCTTGGCTACAGCAACTGGTACAGCACTGAGCACAGAGAGAGACAGAAACTGAGACGACTTGCCTGTTGTCACACCAGCAGCCTACAATGAATCAGAAATGCTCAGCTTTACACTATTGCTGGTTTATCCCTATTCTATCACCACATTGCAACTCATTCTGACATATGTTGACTTTATATAGATGTTTAATACTACACTCTCAGTCATGAGGCATATTATGTGAGGCAGATTTCAGCACTTAATGAAAATAATTTACATTTTCGTTCTCTGGAAAATTAGGCAAGCACACTGCTGCACGCAACTGAGTAAAGAACTTTTCATGCTTAGTGATCTAAATCTGCTGGATCCAGCAGTTGGTGTCTCAAACTAGACACTAGTTTATTAAGCGGTCATCCCAAAGGAGTCCAATTGTCATTCCTATCCAAGTGTAGGGGGAAATCACTCCATTTGTATGAAAAATAGCACAATAAGGCAGTAACAGCTTCAATTACATGAGAAAGAGGTATCACTCTTATTAGGCTAGATTATCCAGTTGCTGTTTCATTACAAAATAGGAAATTCCAGCAGTTGCTTCAAGCACACACATCATTTTCTTGTTTTGGATTTGTACTGCTTCTGCCTGCCTCAACCTCTTCCTTGGCTTTCTCTATTATTTCTGCATTCATCAGAAGCAAGAAGTTTCTCAGAGCTTGAAACGTTTAGAGAAAACATATTACCTCTTAAAAAAAAAAAGAAAAGAAAAGAAAAAGAAAAGAAAAAGAAAATGAAATCAGAGGTGAGTGGGAATTCTTAACGTCTGATATAGAAAAAATATTGATGTTTTATACCTGCTGTCTTAAAAGATAATGCACAATACTCATTCTGCAAAAATAAGATCAAGGATTTGGTTTGTCTTTTTTATGCAAATACTAGCTTTCTCCACAAACTCCACACACTTCCTCGTTTCTTTCTCTCCTTACTTCCTAAAATAGAAGAATGATCAGCATAAAACCAGGAAGAAATACAGTCCCAAAGTATACAATTACATGTAAAGAGACGGAAATCTGTCAGTTCATTATAGGCACTGCTGAGAAAAAAATACTGTAGAATCTGAGTAACCCTTTGTTGACTCCTCCCTGGAGACCAGCATACCACAAAGCAGCTGCAGCACTGCTAGTGAGTCTTAGTCCTGATGATGACCTGCAGCTCTGTCATCACCTTTTCAAGGTTACAGATGTGACCCTTGCATGGTTGGTTGAATCTGAAGCACAAACGGAATGATCACAGCCTGAAAATGTATAATACACTATGCATTTAGTGCATGTGAAGCTGAGAATCACTGCTTCTGTGTATTAAGGATGGAACGAAATGCTTCCTTGCCCATAAGGTAAATAAAGACCTCCAATTAATATCTGTCCCCCAATCAATTAATATCCCCAGTCAATTAATATCCCCAATCAATTAGTATCTGTCAAAGTTGGAGACTCCAAATTTGAAGTGTACAAGACCAAAGCCTTTACAATTCACTAAGCGGGAAGAAACAGCAAAATAAATATTTCAACATATGACCTTCTGGAACTGTTGACATAATGACTTCTGGTGTAAATCATATCAAATAAAGACCAGGCCATATAGTCATTCCCATAAATGAAAAATATAATTCCCCCCTCATTTGGAATATATAATCAAAGCCTATCCAGTGTAAAGAACACGTTAGCTGAAAGAAAGAATCTTAATTATTACCCAGTGTTTTCTAGATTTCAGTCATGGAAGCTAAAAATAAAAATATTTTTAAAAAATAATAGCAAAGATCACAGATGAGATTTGAAAGTCAAGCTGCTTTTCCCCTTCTCCAACTATAAAAAAAAATAAATAAATAAAGGAAAGAAGAGAAACCTGAAGTACACTTTTACTTGTAACTATTCCCTATTACACTTTTGGTATAGAAGGGGTAAAAAATACTACATACAGTTTTTGTAACCAAATATCACAAACGACATTGTACAAATGTGGAAAAGTTGCTGAATTAAAAGATTTTCTTTCAAAATTGTTTTTAAGTAGAAGCTCCTTTGAAAGCCACTATTAATATTAAATCAGGGAAAACATGGGAAAAAAAAAAAAAGATCCAGCAATTAAAACAAATTCTAAAACATGCAAATGCAGTTGATTTTAGCATTCTTAAGTCCCAGTCCTTAAATTGACACAGGCAATATGGGGCTGATAGCAAAGTATTATTCATTTCCAGTGAATCAGTAGATCACAGGCTGCCCACAAGGAAAAGGGATTCCTTTCTGTCCTGAATTCTGGTACTGAAGTGTCAAAGAATTTCCAAGAGCAGTGAATTCAAGGGTAAAGTTGATGAAACATCATTTGGTTTTAGTTAACTACAAAGCCAGAAAAAGTTAATTAATAGGTTTTATTATGATTGGGCAAAGGAGTTCCATCCCAATAAAAAAAGAATTGGGAATATTTTGGTGATTGCCTTAAATGTTGGGGGACGGATTATGTCTGTAATTTTGGTTTGTATAGAAAAGAACTGGCCCCTCTGATGCTATTACAGATGCCATGGCTCAGGAAACCAAACTGCCACAAAGATGATTACAGTTTTTACATCATGTTCTAACGTGCAACATATGCTCCCTTCCCTTCCAAGTGAGCTTTGGTAGTTTACTGGAAAGAAAGCATGTCTCAGTGGCATGCAAGAACATATTTCCTCCCATAGTCTTTAAAATCTTTGAATAGGAAGACAGAAATAGTGTTTGTTCCTTGACAAGGTGCATATGGCAAAAAGGAATTTGCATTTGTTTACTAATTTCCCAGTAAGTTCATCTGTTGTATCACATATTATTATTATGGCACATTCTATTGATTCATAGATACGGATGGCACATGTCATACAAATACAAGATAGGGTCTCTGCCCTGCGAAGTTTATAATCTAAGAACATAGAATTTGGATGTACAGAGAACGTTTGCTACTAAGCTGTCAGGTTTGACATTTCATTTTGTCAGGCATGAAAGGTTTTTGAAAGCAATGAAATAAAGAAAACATCCTCATAACAATACAAGAAAAAAAAAAAAAAAAAAAAAAAAAACTTACTCATTGTCATGTATATGGTTTCTCCATTCCTCTCTTTTCATTTCCGCTCTGGCCTTCCCTAGTGGTGAATCGATTGATGTTGCCACTCGCAAGGTTGGTTCCAAAGGCTTGTAGCGCTGCCGCAATACTTCAGCGGTATCACGGAAAGGCCCCTGATGAAAAGTATAGGATAACGTGTTTTATTATACCGTGGCTATATATAACATGGTTATATAACGTGGCTATAGTACTTTCTTTTATTCATGAGACATCACCAATGAATGAGGACACAGAGTGTCTGGGAAGTGTAGCAAGACTTTTCTTCCAAAATAATTAAAGCAGTTCATTTTGATAGAGAGTTACAGATAACACAAAGGTTGATAACATGCTCTAAAGCCCCAAAGAGAGAATGAGAAATGCGTATTCCGGATTTATTTAGCTACTCATAAATATTTATCATTTTAAAAAATACATTGTTAGAACTTATTAGGAGACCTTATTTTTTTCCTTGGAAAAAATACTGGTGAAATAAAATTTGATATATAAGTGTTAACTTCATCTAGATTCTGTTTAAGCAGGAAGTCTCTTCCTTTTCATGGGATAAATCATGTTTTACCTTAAAGAACACGCTCTTTTCAATTTAACTATAAAACTATGTGGAAGAGAACTTAATACGTGACTTAAAATACAATTCCTCTAATATAATTCAAACTAATGTCTACAAAAATAGGACTATATAGTCTATTTTTGAAATGTCTAATTCCACATTAATCTCAGTAGTCTTAAGAAAAACTAAAAGCTCATAATTATTTCAGAGATGTGTGTGTATATAATATATATACACCTACACACACAAAAGGATGTATGTGTATATGTATATATATGTTTGTTTTGTTTTTTTTTTTTTTAAAGCAGATTATTTAATAACTGATCAAACCACTATTTGCCATTTAACAACAGAGATAGCAACAGAAAGTCTTTTTCTACACTGTCAAAGTGATGTATGTTATGTCTTCGTTTTAGCACTAACCACTGAATTTACCTCAAGTATAATTAGTGCCATACTACGCTCAGGACAATTTAGTGGCAAGTCTAGATTTAGAAGTGTTACTAATTAATTTTTATTTTATTTTCACCATTACTGATCCTGCAATGAACTAGTGAAACCTTCTGAAACTATAAGCAGACAAAGACTCCTAATCACAGGCTTTATTCTTAAAGATATCCTTCTTTAAATAGGTTATCACTAACAAGTCACAGCTGGAGTTACTGCAAGCACTGAGTGAAGACTGTGGGGCTAATAAAAAGAAATGATTCACGCCTCATTTATGTTCACTTATGTTTTACATTAATAGAAACCAATAATAGGAACCAGTTACCATAAAAGTCATGGACCGTAAATAACACAAATGGCAAATAAGTATCATCTAGTACTTTTCACAGCTGGACAGGAGGATTGCTATATTTGAAAGTAGTTAATGGATTTTTATTGTAACTTTACTTTTTAAAGGCACAGCATCATGATTTGGAGATCATCATGATTTAAAGATCATAGTAAGGAAGTAACGATAGCATTTATACTACTTGCAGATATTTTCTTGCTTTTACTTTCTAAAAGTGTCCACAAAAAATATGCATTCATTTAGTATGACCACAATAAAGTTTTTTTTTAAAACAGAGTAAAAATCGATATTGCCTTTAAGAAAATAATAGAGAATATTATTCTCAATACTAGAGAAGATCATTAAAACTGGTAAACAATGTTCTAGTAACACATAATCTAATGATCAAGATATAAAATAAGGTTTATCTTGCTAATGAAAAGATGAATACTTTGTATTGCAAGATGTTTGCAGAGAAAAGAAGAAGTGTAGTGTTATCAAATAATATAATGATAGATTTTTTTTCTTTTAGAAAACAGTCTTCTTCATTATAAAATATTTATTCATATTCCACCAGAGTAAGGGCCAAATCAGATGTCTAAGCAAGCTTTTTTTTTTCTATCTTTAATTTCTAAAAACTTTTAACTTTCTCAATTCATAGCTCAAGTGAAATTAATAAAGCACAGCAAATACTAATGGAAGGGGAGAAAAAGAGTATATAAACTATGCAAAGGTCTCTCCAATAAGGTTGTCGTCATTAATGGTGGTGCATATTGTAGAATATGAAGTTAATTCTAAGCCTTCCCTGCATTTCTCTGAAACACATATTTGATGAAACTTGCCCAGCAATAAACAACTACTGAATGTATGTAAGATGACAAGACCTCTAAAAAAATCCATTTGCCTATTTGAATTTTACAAGTTGAACTTTAAAATGTATGTAATCTGCAGTAAAATGGTGCTCGTAAATATTTTCATATCTGCAGTGCCCACAAGCATTTTGGGCATCTGGCTTCAAAAGGGAACCAACAGTTTTCACCCTGAAAGCAACTCAAACAACTCCATGTTCTATTTTGGAATGAATAGTATAAAAATTCTTGCTACTGACTGGAGTGCCAAATAAAATGGTTAGCAGGGAGGCAGTCTTACTACTTTACCATAAGAAACTCATGAAAAAAAAAAAAATGAAATCTTGTGTTCTTTGCTGTTCCTATTCCATGACAGCCATCAGCATACAAGAAAATATATATATATATAATTCCCTAAAAATGGGGATGTACTTTCTGTTATTAATGCCTTTGAAAGAACACTTGACTAATTTTAGAATTATCCATTCTTCTATCAAACTGTAATTCTAGTTAATTCAGTAATAAAACTGATAGGTCTGTTATAACTAATGTATAATCATCGTTAAAACTTTTCTTTTAAATACACTATATCTCACATACATGGAGTTATATATAAAATGCTAAATACCAACTTTCCCAAGAGAAAGCTAGTAGTTAGCTATTTTTTGTTCTCTTAAGCTTGTGTAATTTACATTCTCGTATAAAATATCCAGGCATATGGGCAACACAATTTTTAGATACCTGAAAAATCAATAGAGTAACAAGTGGCTCACACTGGACCTGAGATATATAAAATGTTATCACAGAGAACTAGGACACAAGTATAGGTAGTAATTAAATTCCTTATTGTCACACTGGACAACTTTCAGGGTGATGTGTTCTGATGGGTTTTCATTTCCAGCTGTTTCATCATCTCAAACCAGTGTCCTTTCCTTAGACAATACAACCCTAAATTGTCAAAGTGTTGTGTAGGGATTTAGCCGTGTGACTCCCATTAACATCAATAAGAGTCGCGCAGCTAAATCCACGTGCTGTGCTTTGAAAATTTACCCCACAGTGTACATCCCAGGGTGCTGAAAGGATTAAAGTATTATATAGTAAATTCCCTCTTTGAGGTGCAGAAAATAAACAGGGCTCTTCTGGTTTGTTCTAAAAGGCTATCTGTGCACTACTGCTGTGAATGCATCTGAACTTAGAAAGGTCTATAAAATATTCCAAATCCAAACAGAATCTTGTAAGATACTTTATATACAGTAAAGCGGTTTTGCAAGAGCAGCTTAACAATAGAAGAACTCTGAGTTCCCTCTTTATTTAAAAAGCATGACTCCTGTACTGACAACGCACCCAGTCACATCCCACTGAAGGACTATAATAGCCCCGTTGGTCCCAGAAGGTAAGGCTATAATGTCATATGTATCTGTTTTCGAATTTACTTTCAACTCCAAAATCCCTGATCACTAAACCGTTGGCTCATGCTTTGACTTGGTTCTAATATGAGTCAATGAGATTGTTATATGAGGAAGCTCAAATAGTCAAGGTGTGGGGATGGAAGGAGGGAAGGACAAAGGTGAACTACCTTGAAGTTGATCCTTACATATGGACACACATATATATATACATATATAAGTTATAAGCAGTGTGGATCTCTGTGAGGCTCACCTCTATTTATTCAGACATATTTTGGCAGATCAGTATCTGTTCCTCATGCTTGAACCCAATTACCTTTGCATTCACATCCCACCATTGATATCAACTCATGTTGATACAGAGAAGTCAGATATGATATAAAGGTGAGAAAAGCCTCTTCCGTGTGGGTTAGCCCATGAGCCCATGGCTGTTTCCACTGAAGAACAATGTCGTTTCAATCAGTAAAACACAGGCAAATTGTAGCATGGCTACAGATAGTTTGAATCCAGCTGTAGAATTATATAATCATAGAACGGCTTGGTTTGGAAGGAACCTTCAGGATCATCTAGTTTCAAGCCCCCTGCCATGACCAGGGACACCTTCCACTAGATCTGGTCACCCAGGGCTCTATCCAACCTGGCCTTGAACACATCCAGAGATGGGGCATCCACGATTTCTCTGTGCAGCCTGTAACAGTGCTTCACCACCTTATGAGTAAAGAATTTCCTCCTAACTTCTAACCTAAATCTCTCCTCTTTCAGATTGAAAGCATTGCCCCTTGTCCTATCACAATATACCCATGTAAAAAGGTCATTCACCATCTTTCCTATAAGCCCCCTGTAAGTACTGAAAGGCTGCAGTGAGGTTGCCCCAGAGCCTTCACTTCTCTAGGCTAAACATGGAAGAGAAAATTTAAAGATAGCATGGAGTTCAAAATAATGTACAAGAACTTCTGAAGTCATTGCAAGCGTTCAAAGTCCAGCTGGCACTAAACATATATGTATGAGGTACATAAAGCTGAAGTTCAGTAGACCATGCAAACTGAAAAAAATCTTCACAAGAGATAGAAAGACAGTGTATGTCTACCTCAAAAACATCAGATATTCACTGGCAAAAGCTACATGTCTGGATAAATATCCACTCATCATCAACTGAGGAACATAAGGGTCTCAAAAGTTTATAAATATTGGTCATATTCCCAGCAGGTTTAGATAATAAAATGGCAAATGCTCTTTTGCCATTTAGTGGGACATCTCTGACATATTACCTCAGAGATCTCCATTAATTTATGGGAGAGGAAAAAGGTTATCTGCAACATATGCTAAAATCAACGGAAATAAAAATCCAGACCATGACAGTTAAGGAAGGGAGCTAGGCATCTAGACAGTTGATGCAGAACATGTAGAAACTTGTAATTACTGACACACAGCTAGTTGATGTAAAAGTACAGGAACTACTTTATACTGCGAGGATGTCTCTTGGTCTCCACATGGAAAACACAAAAAGAGTAATAAGTTATTTCAACTGGTTAATTTTATCTTTAATTTCTCCTATTTTTCATTGATTTAAAATTGGAACTTAGAAATTCTCCTTCTGATGAATCAGGATGATACTCAGTTATGTCAGATCTTCTCTTTGAAATCTCAAAGGTGACTTTGTTGTTTTTTTTTTCCAAAAAGACAAAAGCAAAGACACATTTCCTTGTTTTACATACCACATACATTTCTTTTTCCTTAAAAAAAAATTTGTGTCAAAGAATTATATTGTGAAAACAAGCACTAGTTCTATAAATAAAGAACATACACAAAATATTTTACCAAAAAGAGACACTGAAAACTGTTACCTGAGGTTTCTGTCTGCCAATAGGTGGCAGGGGTTCTCCTGCATGGAAAGTTGGAGGCCTTTTACAAGTTGGCCAGTCATAAAGTTCATCTGTGAAGGGACTCTTCACTTGCTGCTGCCTGTGGCTCAGTGGCTTTGACTGCCGGAGCAGCAGTTCCATTGGATCTGGGGATTTTCTGAACGGCGAATTATATATGCCTGCAATCTGAGTAGAAGATGGGTTTACCTTCGACTTCAACTAACTTACAGTTGCAGTTACAAAAGTGTTTAAATAGGATAGTGTAACACATAATCTGTGTTTTAGCCCTCCCAGTGGGTATAATTTTCATTTTATTCAAGCAAGAAGTACACAGCTGATTTTCGTGGACCTCAAACCCTCTTTTCTTTTGGTCACATCTTCCCTCTTCCATAGTAATAGTCAAAGAAACATACAATTTTTTCCTTAAAAATAAAGTAAATTGTACAAAATTACAACTAGCTTTAAAGACAAGTATTATGCTTGTTTTGAAATTTAAACTTGAGTTTATGTTTCTTTAAAAGCCATTTTAAATTACTATGCATAACAGAAATAAAAATGTATATTACTTATTATTTCTAAGCACATATGTAAAGGCTAAAATAAATATCCATACAAGGAAAAAGATAACTTTTGTCCCTTTAGACACTGTGTTAGCTAAGTCGCAGTGTGGCATAAGATGGTTGAAATTACAACATTTTTAAAAGTAAAACTGAGAGACTGGCTACAGGGAAACACAAGAACATTTATTGAATACCAAAAAATAGTAACTGTTGTGGTTTTTTTACAGCAAAATGTTTTATTACATTTCTTTAACCACTCACATCTATTTAGTTTTACTAGTATAAAAACTGTGAAAAACAAAAATTAAGATTAAAAAATGTGAATTTTGAATTGAACTAAAAATTTACATTCTTCATTTAATTTTGTTTCTTTTTTTTTTCAGCACAAAGAAACAATATGCTATTACATCAGTAGTTGCATTAGTAGTGTGATATAATATAATAATTTCTAATATAAAGCATACATTTCAAATTCTTAGCTAGTAATCTCTATCATTAACAGTCTGTGAATATCTGGCAAGACAAAATTATATGGCAGGCTGGTCCCAAATCATTCTGAATGATGATCATTCTACATTCTTAGAAATGTAGGAATTTTATCAGTTGTATATAAACAACACTCAAGCATATGTGAGTTTACTGAATAAGTTATATCCATTCTAGTTAATAATTACTATGTGCTAAACATGAGAATTGGTGTACCAGATTGCACAAAGCCACTAAATTTCCAATAAAACAAATGAGATGCTTAAAATACATTGGCAAAATAAATTAATAAACTGCTTTGCTTTAAGGAAAATTGTATTTTCTGTAACCATATACAGTATAACAGACTTTGACGGTAGATCAGTTTTGCTCAGTTATAATATATCATGTTTTGCATTTATCATATTTATTTGCTTTGAAGCATTGAATAAACATAGAATAAAAAAGACATCAGTCACTGGTTGTTCCTTTAGTTTTCAGGATGTCAACTATAATGGCAGAGATCCATGCTTCAAATAGCAGACAAGCAGGATTGGTGGGGTGACTGCAAAATTGCAGGTCCATCTGTGTGATCTGTAAAATCCAGCTGCATTTCAGGGTTTGGTTCTACACCTCTTGCTCTTATTCACCTAAACATCTCATAAACTTGCAGATTCTCCTTATGATTTATTTTTTGTTGTATTTCATCCATTACCTTGTTACAATTTTCTTATCAGTGCAGCATAGTTTTGCTTGTGAACATTCAGTGACATGCAAGTCTTCCATAAGCACAAATTCCATATGTTGTCTCAGGCTTTTTTGAACTATTGAATGCATTCCTGCTACGTATTTGTTACACAAGTTCTCTCATACATAAAATGACACAGTCAAGGTCTTCCAAACAAATTAGATTCCATGCTGGAGATATACAAATCAACCATGGTCATATAGCTCTTCACCCATTAGTCCTACCATGGCCATCAGATCTGTCTATACTATGAATTTTTGCCTTTATTTTGCTGATGACAGTAAAATAGAAAAGTAATTGTGATCACCATCTTGTACATTTCACTGAATTTCACTGTACTGATACTTTATCTTTCCATCCATTCCTATGTCCTCTGTGTTCAGTTGTTATATCCTGACTAATGTGGAGAGTACATTCTAGCCAAGCCACATGGCCTCTGCATAGGGCCCCAGGTAGTGAGAAAAATACTGCTCTTTTACTGTACATCTGCAGCACACATTTTATAGAAAACTACAATATAAATGAAAATACAAATATTTTCCATGAGAAAAACATCTTCTTGTTCACCATTGAGAATCAGGGTGTTCTGAAATAAACCATTCTGCCATAAAAACGGCATGCTGAAGTTTCATCCATGGATTTATTAATCAGTAGGAAATCCTGATCAGGGTTTTTAAAAAATCCTAAAATTTACACAGCTTTTTAAGATAAGTTTAAAAATAATATAAAAATAACATAACATAAAATAATAAAATAATATAATAATAAAATAATAAAGAATAAAATAATAAAGAAATAATAAAATAATGAAATAAAAATGCCAAAAAGCAAATTGGTTAGGAAAATTTAACAGATGAAAATTTAGATTTCTTCAATCACACAGCACGAGATTGTTTCTTGTTTGTTTCCACAAAGAATAAAAACTCAACATCTTAAATATTTCAAACATTTTTCCTTTAAAGAAATACAGGCAACAATAACTTTAAAATAATGTTTATCTGGGCTCTGAGAAATGGCATGACTTCTATCATTCACATTTAGAGAAGTATTAATGGACCTATGAGTATAATGGCTTTCTGGAATGACATTTCATAATCTATATTGCGATACTATGTATGTTCTTGACATTTCTTTGTTTAAACATTTGGCAATAGAGAAATCTGTATTCAGAGTTCAAACACTGAAATGCAGTGCACAAATAGGATTGGCTTTCAGCACTTCTAATGACACCAAAATTAGCCATAATAGCTTTGGGAACCCACTGATTCATGCTCGTTTGGATTATTTCTGAAGAGGTGCCTGAACATAGAGTCATCTTGTGCTGTTCTTTCTTTCATATATTATCAGGTTAAACATACATAAATAGTGTATCAGCTATGAAAACAGATTTGCAGTTTTAGTGAGGAACATTAGTGAGGCCAGCTAGACACTTTGCAAGATGTTGCTTCTTCTACAGTTGAAGCTCTTTGTGAGATCTGGGTCAAAATTAATTACGAAGTGCATTTTAACTAATGATTTTTCAAGCAATCCTGTTAATTACTTTACATTTTAATTATATATGTTCAAGTATTCGAACAGACAGATAGCAGAGCAATCAGCAGAGTTCATATCTAGATGGATGAAATTTATACTAATTTACTCTAAAATCCCCAAGGTTTGTGGCTAGGATTTAAGCCTAGATTTAAAATTGGCAAAGTTTGGTAGCAGAGACAAGGGGATGAGTTTGGTTTTACTTTCTAGTTCAGACCAATCTCTAGCAAAATTCCTTCACTTTAAAATATCTCTGCAAATCAGAGTCATTTTTGTGACTCCTTGCTTATATGTTGTGTGCTGACGGATGTGCTATTCACTCTACCCTTTGCAGGAAGATAGCAGTGTGCAGAAATCTTAAGAATCTGGAGGATCAAAGGTTTTGATACTTAATAATTTTTCATATCTTCCTGACACCAGTACAATATATTAAAAGCATTAATTCACCTTTTCACTGCTTTAATGCAATATCCTCTCAACTACAAAACCATTGCAGTTTATACTGCTTTTTCAGTGGTAGAAAAGTATATGTCATGAGATACTACTCCATCCTTTGAAATCAAAGTATGAGGTAGATTTTGATTTTCTTCACTTTTAGTCCATACAAAAATATGCTACCATCCCAAATTTTATGATATGTTACAAAAAGTACCTCTTCTGTAGTGAGTATGACACATTTTTCTGTACCCATGTTCTTCACAACTAAGAAGGTCCTCTGTCAAAGCCAGCTTTCTGAGACTCCATTTCCAGGAACAATTTTCTAAAGTGACAAACACTATGGGGAAATCTGTGCTACTGTTAAAAAACCTGCAACTGAGTTATTTGCAGTACTGTCATGCTGACTTCCAACTCAATAAGACCAAAGAAATCTCAGGAGGGGACTCTGCTAATAGCTTCTTACTGACCTCCTTACATCAGGCTCTTCTGCTGAATGGTGGCCCAATGGTGAATATGGCAAATGAGGTGTGAAAGCACAGATTTTTGTATTATTTTTTTTTTTTTATAAGACTATGGTTCTGACTCGTCAGGGGAAAAAAGAGAGAGAGAGAGAGAGAGAGAGAGAAAGAGAAATGAGTTATACAATAGATATATTTTTCCCCTAGAATTCTCTGCCTCAGACCTTCCATCATGGAAACCCAAGCATGACCTGGAATATTAATTGTGTCAGGTCAACCATACTGGCAAATGTATCATTTGTTACCCAGTCATCCTTAGCATTACATTAGTATTTTGAATCATTTTGCATTTCTAACACTCTATCATTTAGTTTTCTCTCAATCATTTTCTTATTTTTATAATTAATGGTGGCATATAAAGAAAAAATAATCAGAAAAATAGATATTAATTTAATGAAGGAAGGAAAAGGAATCAAGGAAAAATGTCTGTGTGCATGTTTTAAATATTCTGTATCTCTTCCACCTCTTATCCTAATCTTACTCTACACTGTAGCATATGCATTTTTGTCTTTTCCTGTTTATCATTTCCATAAGCAGAGAAAAAGTTAACTGTTACTTAACAGCTACTGTTCTGAAAATAATCACACCTGCAAAATTAAAAATCAATGAAGTTGAGCTGAAGAGTAAATGAAAGCATGAAGTTAACAGAAAATGTATCCTCCCTCATGTATTTTAAATATATTTTACTGTAATTCAACTAAACTATAAAAAAGGCATGCTCTGTTTTAATTATTTTTCCATATCAACTCTGAAAGTTGGAAATAATCAACATTATATATCATGAATATAAATGCTTCGTTTAGCATTCATTTATTTCTGAAAAATAAAAAATACCTTTGATGGAGGAAGCCTTTTCAAGCAACTGCCACAGTAAGAATCTAAATAAGGTTCTACTTTCTCAGTCTGCTCTTTTAATAAGGAGTTAAA